GAATTTCAAACTAAAATTTCAATACAGTTTTAGTCCAACATAAAAAGCTAAACATTGTTAAATGGAGTTAAACCCTCAGAAGTGGAAGTTTGCAAAAAAGTGGTGGTTTGAAAGGGATGTGAAGGGATTTATGTTAAGAGAGGAACAACCAACCTTAAAAAGAGGGGTGTTAAATATGGAAGTGAGGTCCCCCTGAAGGCGGCTGCGCCTCGGGACTTCCCTTCCGGTTCTTTTCCTGGGAGCAAGTTATTTACTACTCTTAACTCAAACTGGGTAAAACCATATACAAAAGGACTATAAAACAGGAGTATAAAAGTAACAGAGTTTATTCCAGGTCAGGTCGTTACAGGACAGAGAAATTGCTTGGAGCTTGCACAGCTGTGGGCTCAAAAAACGTCAGCGAGCGTCCGGCAAAGATTGAGCCCCGAACAAGCTTATCTCCTCCTTCTTATACCTCATGAGTCCATGTTTTGGATCAGGTGGATGCTTAGCTGTCCGTATCGGAAACTGACACGCCATCCATGCCCTGACCTTCATGCATCTTGCCTCTATGCCCCAGGATTACACATCAGTCCGGCTCCAAGATGTGCCCATATCCTGTGTATTTTTAAAGACACGAAGGCTGTCCTGATTAGATGACCTCCGTACACACAGTGACATCCACCATGTGAAGGAAGGCCTTTGTTAGCCTAATCTGGCTAACAAAGTAACAATGCACATGATGTATAAAGAATAAACCTAACAGGGGAAGGATTCAGATTCCAGCTCTCAAAAACCTACAATGCAGCGATAGAGTTAATTGCTTCCTGCTATCAACTAAATCTTCATTGCCATGGAGGGGACCAAAACATCTCGCCTGCTCAGCCAGGTCAACAATGGCCCCTTTTCAGAAGCATAGGCCAGTATCAGGTTTTGCAGGCCAACAACGACCTCAACAACTCCCCATTACTAAGGGCTGGACCTTTTTTTCGGTTCAATTTGCATGTTTTTTAAGCCATAAGCCTGGGACTCAACCCTAATCCAGACATTTTGAATTGAGAAAGCTTCCTGGATGGGAAGCAAAACATCTTCAAACTTGGAAAACAAAGTCCAGTTGATAGGTTTTTTTTTTACTTTTTAACTTTGCTGGAAAGTTATATTGTTTACACAACTATTCATGACAATTCAAAAAATTCTGGTGATAAAATTAGCTAATGATAAGATGTTGCTGCCACAGTCTCTTGATAGCAGTGCTGTTTAGAACTGAAACATGGCGTATATCTGAATATAAACATTTTTATTCTAGTTTTTTTTCACACAGCATTTTTATGTCAATGTGACAAATTCCAGGCTTAATGTGATCAACACAGAGGAGTAAATTAAAGCTTTGACTGGAAATATTTTCTATATGAACCTGTTTAAGCTAACACTTTCGTCTTAGGTGGCTGTTATGTGTGTTAGGTGTTGATGCCTGACTTTAAGGCCGGAAACTTATCAACCCTTTTTAGCTCAATGCTTGGCTGCCAAGTACTTGGGTTCATTCTTTTAAGCTATTTTAATCAATTTTGTGACTTCTGGTATGGAAATTGATATAATTATGCTACAAGCCTAAAGGCACAACTACAAAGTAAATGGTGCAAAAAGTTTTAAATGTCAACACATTAATGTGGAAGTAGAACAATTACAGAAGCAAAACCATAACAATGATAAAAGAAAAGAGCATGTTTATGAAAAGAAAGGAAAAAGAAACCGACAAAGCTTTTCTCATTTTTTCAATGTTAAGTGAGTTGTATCCTTTACAGAACTCCCTGCAGCTTTAGTCTAGACTGAGGAATTGGATGATCTTTAACTGCAGAAGACGAAACTCTAAAAAAAGTCCCAGAAGTATACAGGTTTAATATGTCCTATATTTCCCAGAATGCACTTCACAGCTCCTACAGTTCAAATATTTGTATTGAGTCTTGCATAGTGTTGGTAACCATTTGATCTTTAATATGATTGCATTCCAAAAATGACTCATAGAGGCCAACAGGTGCAAACATCCAGCAAATGATGAGAACAGATGAATAATGTAAACATTAAACACACCAATGCAAAAAACACACAAACAAAAACAAACAAAATGCCACTGCTAAACAAAAAAGCAAGTTAAAAAAAGAGCAGTAAATAGCTTTCATAAAGGAAGATCATCAGGTAGAGTCGACCACCAAGTCTGATGGGACCTAACCCTATTTTCCTATTTTCTATTTTGATGCTGTACTTAAATTTATAGCTTGCTGGTGGACTCCACCTAGTGGCTGGTGCTTTTCCATTTTATGAACTGAGTTTGTAGGTTATTTAGGTTTGGTTATTGCTGTTGTTTTTTGTGTTATTGTCTATCTTATATTATTGCAGCATTTTTTTCTGTTGATTTAGTTTTATTGTATTAAATTCTTTGTTTTTAATCATTCGTGTTTTTTTTCGCCCAGTAAACTTTATTCTGAAAGTTTGCACTTGTCAGAAAAAGTATAGAATAGGTCAAATGTTACCTAAAAGTTGGATAACAGTATTATATTTAAAGCTCTCATAACAGTAGATTAACCCTAACAGAACAGTTACTTAACTGTAAAAGATTGATTGTGCATTACTGATGTATAAAGCTTTATATTTTTGCACACTTCTAACTAGTTATCTCATATGAGATGTTCCTTTGTTTTTTTGAATCCAGCTTATCCCATCCTTCAACCAGCCTGCAAGGAGACGGAGGAGATCTCGCAGTGATCAAAGTGTGTGTGTGTGTGTGTGTGTGTGTGTGTGTGTGTGTGTGTGTGCAGCGTACCAAGCACGGAGTCTCATTCTCTCTCAAACTGGGAACCTGATAGCTGAACTGTACGTCTCTCTTGTCTTTGTGGTTCCGACACAGAAATGGAACAGATCCGATGAGACCTAGAAATACAAGCTTTTGTCCTTGCTTCTATCCTCTTTCTCCCTTCCTATGCTTCATTTTATCTTTATTTTTCTATCTAAATTAGGGTTTACTTTTCTGTATGCTGTCTATATTTTTATGCTCATACCTTACAAATCAGAAAAAGGTCTGTACACTGCATTGACATTGCATTAAGGGTGACTTCTAACTTGCTTTTCTTCATAACACAGCTGTTGCATTGATGGGTGATGATGAGAGCTTGGGTTTGCTGTGAATGAACATGCTGAGGCCATTATGAAAATATACACAATACATCAGCGGTTCATTTAGCAGTCTATAAGTCTGTGGGTTGAGTAAAATCCACCACTGCTCCAACCTAACTTTTTTGCCGTTGTGGGGATAAAATAAGTAATGAAGAAAGAGCAACACTGAGATGGAGAAAGGAAGAGCAACAAACCCATTTTCTATATTAACAGAATTTAACAAACCTTATATTTTAAAGAGCTCTACAACAAAAAGAGCCTGATTGGCTTCTCAAGTTTCAAAATCATCATATAAGCCTTCCTCATAGTGCTTTATTTTGAAAGAATATACATAACTATGTGGTTCATCATAAAATTCAAGTGATTAGAAGATAGTATACGGTAGGGCTTTGATAATAAATGATGATGATAGATCATTAATTAAGCAAGTGAATATTCTGATGAGTAATAATATTCCTCTAGTTTTCTGGACAGCTGGAATAAAGCATGCCCACTGTAGATAAGATTATAATAGATTACTGTTGTGTTTCTTTAAGTCGATTAACCCTAAACCAAAGAACAGCAACATGTGATTAATTATAAATAAAAGTTATATTCACTTTGGCTGAAAACCTACTAAAGCCTCAAACAAGGACAGATTCCTGAAAAAAAAACAACTTCATGTTAGTGATGTAAGGGGGAAAGTATTTCCTTTTGAAATACAAATTCCTTTCAAAATGTTTTCTGTTTCCTTTCAAAATGTGAAAATATGTCATTGATTTAAGTGATTGTACAACAAATTTTAATTGTTTTGGTAGAAATGGCTTAAATCTAATGAATATCTTTATTTAAAATGTTCAGAGAAAAAAATAAAGATGAATAATAAAAATGTATTTTTAGTAAAAATATGGTTTGTTAATATAAACACAAGGTTAGACTACAAAAAGCAGTTGGCAAAGGAGTTTGCTGTTGGCAAAGTGACAAAATTCCACGTCCCTTGCCTTCAAAAGTCGATGGCATGGGCAAAGGTGCAAATCAGATTGTGTCTAAAATGAGCGGAACAAACTTTCTAGCCCTTTGAAAATATGTAAAGATAAGTTGATGACCAGAGCCCGCAAAATACTGGGAGGATGATGTGCAAATGAAAATCTTTACAACCCACTCTTTATAATGCAGTTAACGAATCTTAAATCAATTTTTGCATCCATATTAGGCACATATGAAAGTCAATTTTAAACCTGCATGTAACAATGTCTTCAGTTGTTATGGATTATGGCGATAAGGAGGCATACTGGTGGAATGACAGATGATGGAGAGAGCTTTAGAGCAAAATGAAAATCACAAGCAGGACTAGACAACCATCCTCTATTCTCTCAAACTCCATTGCTTGAAGCTTCAAATTTCTTTTACATCTGCTCTGCTCCCTCAGGGACGGTCCTACTCTTTTGGGTGAAGGTTTTATAGATTTTTTTCATTTATTAATCCAGCTTTTTTATATCCATTATTAAAATATTCAATAATTAGTGTCCTTTGACTATTTAGTCACACAGCTTAACTGCCTTATAATGTTGTGACAATCCAGAACAACAAAAAGATTCTCATTACACATTTTTATTTATCTTATGCTTCTTCTAATTTACTTCTTACATGACCATCATTTCTCATAAACTGAATTTTATTACTCATCTGCAAACCATAATCGTTCAAACCAACAGAAATAAACATTTGAAGCACATCATTTTGTGAGAAATGAATCCATTGAAACTGGGAACATGTATTTGAGTTAAATTACTGAAATAAAAAAACTTTTTAATCATTATTGTGTTTATTCAGTTTCACCTTTAAGTATATGACATCAAGAAAAAATGACTCACCATAGACCTTGCCTAGGAACAGTGTCTTAACCAGGTCAAACTGTATGTCTGAGGCCTCTGGAAGTTTGTAGCTGACTGGAGGGTAATGATCCAGCTGGAATAAGACAAATAATGAAAGAGAAATAAATAATACATAAGGATCAAATACATATTTAGGTAAGGCTTCTCAAAAAAGTACAAAGGTGCTGATTAAAAGACTTATTACTGAATACCACCGAGACTGGCATCAGCATCTTAAGGATAGATCATTTAAACAACAGAGACACTGGTAGCTGAGATTCAGGAAGATACATAGCTTAACAGCACCCTCTGGTGGTTTCCAGTGGTCAGTAAAAAAAAAGAGGTAAAAAGAGCATTTATATTTAAATAATGATAAAAATAACAATGATAATATGATAATTCTTTAAAGAGTTTTACCATGCTTTAGCAGCACAATGCAACTAAGTATATGATGATTGGTAAGCTGCACTGGAAACTACACTTTTATTTACACTGTTTTAAATCCAGAATAAGAAGTAAATTGTCCACATCATACAAATCTAAGCTTAGACTTTGCACATACTGTGGATTTTTAGGTTAAAAAAATTACCTTTAAATAAGCTTTGTTCCACATTGTTTACAATAGAATACATGTTTGACTCTTTATGTGCTGATATTGGTGATGACTAGAATCCTTTAAGGAAAACTGTTTTCCTTAAACAAAAAAACAAACCAAACAAAAAGTGAACATTTAAAAATGGCAAATTCAGGTTAAACAGTCATATGGTCGAAGTCTGATTTCTGTGTTCTGTAACCAGGAGGAACACCAGTACAGAAGATTATTTTGTGATAAGGAGGTATCTGTTTCCCAAAATCTTCTCAAGTTGGTTTTAAATCTTTAAAGCCCAGAGCAAATGACTTGCAACATTTACATAGTTCAACATTTAGAGACTGTTGTCCCCTAAGACAGTGATATCATACAAGGGATCTGTTCCCATCAGGATCAGGAATGATTCATGATGGAATAAAGATAATCACTTTTATTGATTTTCAGTCGACCATGCCAGGAAGGGAATATATAAAATTGGATCATGCAAGAAAGATGCCTTGGTCTCCTTCCTGGGCTGTCAAATACTGCTGTGTCATCAATTCCTGTGGTATGCACAAAGTGTCTTTTACTGCCTGTGTACTGACACTGAATGTACTATCAGACACAATCAGCAAATGCTCTGAAGATAGGTATGTAGTTTAAGAATTAAAAGGCTCAAGTCTTCCTAATAATCGTGTATTTGGGACCCCCATGGAGCAGCCTGACAATATGCTGGAATAAAAGGGCTAGCTAACCTTCTGTATATAGGAAGGGTTTAAACAAAAAATAAAGAATCTTAAGATCATATCAGAACTCAACCTTCACACAAGTTGGATTTCTGATTGACCTTTAAACTTTAATCCTAATATGCTTAATCATATCTGTTCTGCCTCGATCATAGCTGTTACCTTACAGCAGATTTGCTGATCTCAGTAAAGCTTTCATTCTAGTTGATGTTGGCCTCTTTGAAACAAGCTCCATTTGTTTTTTCCCAAAATGGATCAAGCTCCCAGCGATCTTTATGAATGTAAATTTAAGCTCAAACTGCAACAACGATCTATAAATAGGTAAAAATGTCTTAAATTAAGTGTATTTACCCTTCATGCGAGCAGGTATATAAGATGATCTGCCAATGGAATGAGTATTTTTACCCTTAAAAAAGAAAAGTAGATAACATGCACTTGGAATAAGAGATGGTAAATGTTTCTTATTTTAAATTTAAATTGTCTTGTTCCATTGGCTAAGTCTCACTTACCTCCTTCAAGAAAAAAATAGTTTAATTATTTTATGAAACAATTACTAATTTAGATTTCAATTTTTGCAGTGCATTTATCAGCTGAGGCGTACCTCAAGGGCCATTTTAGGACACCTTATTTTTCTCTTTCTCTCTCTGTCCAACCATCTCTTGCATATTAGGCACATTGAGATACATTTTCTGTATAAATATGTTGTTAAAATATGTTTCTGTAAACACTCATGCATTTCCCTAAACTCTAAACACTTGATAGTATGGTTTTGAACCTTGACCTTTCATGGTGTTGGACAGTAATGCATTAGTCTAATGATAAAAAAGTATTACTTCTTTGAGTATCTAATACTCTAACATATTTCTATTTAAATAAAAAAAACACACACAAAACAAAAGCACTGCTACCCTATGGTTCTTCAGTCAGTTACTTGAGGGACAGACTGGCCATTGGGGGGTTCCAAATTCAACAGTATCTGCCTTGTTAGATCCTCCTACCGCCTGAGTAGGAGCATAATAGGAAAAAGCAGACACACACCCTTGCCCTGTCTTTTTTGGTTCTGAGGCACACGACAGGTAACAACGACAGGGACAGTCAAAAGGAAAGACTTATAAAGAGGGAGAGGATAAAAATAAGCCAGAACTGGCTGCAAAGTGCAGTGTGAATAATTTTGGGGAGCAGGTAAGACTTAAAACTACTGGAGGAAAACTTATCATAACATATCCAGCTTAAGTAGCTCCAAATTAAAGCGGGTTTTTAGAACCCAAGGAAGCCAAAACTTACTTATTAAAGCAAATGTTTTTGTTGAAGCGGAGTTCAGGCTGCTGTAAAGCTCAGCTTTAGATCACATTACTTATTCAGAGACAGATCCAACCCATTCGTGTCGCGTAGGGGAATTTGTTGAGAATAGGATCCACAATGGAGCATTGATACAGGCTTAAGGCTGTTAACTGATTTGCCAGCAAGTTCAACTTTTGTCCCTTCTCAGATAAAAATAAAAGTTCATGTGTTATCTGCCTGCTCATTGTCTCATTTAGTTTTCTTAAAAAATTGTTAAAAATACAATGCCATGTCAGCTTCATTTTTAAAGGTGTTTAATTCTAATGTGTTTCTTTATTTATTTAACTCTTGTGTCCTGTTCACATTCCAGTTAGGGTTGTGGGTTTGGTGGACCAGCTGAATTTTGTTGCTTGAAATTTAACACAAGGAAACTTTTTTTAAAAGTAGAATACAAATTTAATTTTTTTTATTTTTTACATCATTACATTTGGATACACCCATAATATATATATATTAGTAGTGTATACCATAATATGTGCCCTTATATCAGTTGTGATATCTCATTGAAAACTAGAGAGTCTAAAACTCCCAAGGCTAAATTTTGGGCTAAATTTCATAAAATGATTGGTACAATATGCATGGTCAAACTTCATAAATTTTATTCATGAGTATTTTCTATTTGAGAACTTGTTGCGAGTTCTCAAATAGGGTCCCCCTAGTGCTTTGGCGGGAAACTGCTATGCATCCCTAGAGATTCCAGACCGACGTTGTAGAAGCATACCAGCAAAACTGGTTTGCGACCAGACGCAAGCGACATTTGTTGTGTGCAGCTGCAGAAGTATAATCCGCAATTTAGAGTGTCTATAGAGCAGGTCCTGAAGCTAGCTGCTCGATGCTGATTGGCTAACATACTTAATGATTTTTAACTGACAGTGGCCAGTCGAGGGGGCAAAGGAATCGTTCAGTCAGAACAGTCATCTTGTGCTGAACTCTTGCTGTGGTTTCTGGAGTTTATTATTTCAGAGCGCTTCCCAACAGCTATTTTCAACCGTTGTAATTATGTGTTTTAACATTTGTTAATGCAATATGTGATGTTTGAATTTAATTAACATCACTGAGCCTCCCCTGTTTCAGAGAGCTGCAGCCATCATGGCCTTATACAGTACATCGTATGTATCCCTACAAGCAAAATTTGCAGTAGGGGTTAGTTACAGCAAATTTGCAATTGGCTTAAAGTTTGTAAAATTGGTAAAATTGTCACAATATCAGCAACATATAACTGTATTTTCACTTTTCAGAGACTGCATTTATGTATTTAATTAAAGATTATTAATGCTTATTTTCACACTCTGTTTTCTTCCATTTCTTTTATACTTTAAAGCTGATTTTGTATGATTTAGTAAACGTTATATGTCTTATGGCTATGTCATAGCTATATCGTTATCAGAACCAACCTAATAAGGTGCTCTCTGAGAGATTTATGTATGAATATAACATGTTGACTCTCCATGGTGTCATGCACATTTTCATTAAACAAATTAGGTGAAGTAGTTAAAGTTATTTCTTTAAACAAAGTAGGTGATCAAACATTAGTTAAGGGCATAAGATGGTTAACAGTGAGGGTAGAAACCAAGCAGGATGTTTACAAAATGCTTCATCTATGGAAATGTGAGAGCAGCGAGGGTGATGGAGGGAGGGAATACACGACTTTAATATCCCTGCAACGTAATTAACTTGTTATTGCCGTACCAATGAAGTTTCTAATTAGCTTGAAGGCTGCAGCTGGTGCTATTGATGAGAATAATTTCAGCCCCTCAATTTGGCTTCCCTACATCCCAGAAAATAAAAGATCATCCTTTTTCCCCTCTCCCTGTTCATAGGAGGACTGTATCTGAGCTCACACAGACAGCAGAGCAACAGGCGAGAACAATGACTTTTGTTGCAGTGTGTTTTTCTCAGAGTGTCTTTTATTGATGTGCTGAAAAGCTGAGGCTTCGTGGCGGACGGGGGCAGAGCTGGAAGGTCACAAAAGAACTTGGATTCATGTAAGTGTGCTTTAGCCCGTGTTTACAGGTTTAATTCAGTGGAGTGCTCCCAAACAGCAAATCTCCTCACCCGCAGCTCTTCAGACTTTTTTTTTTCTTCACACACAAATAAGAATAAAACACACACATACACACACCAAGCATCTTCTAATTTGATTCCTTCCAAAAGCCTGGTCTCTGTAGAGCCCTGTGTGGGTTTTGTTTTCCACTGTGACTGGAGGGTGGGATAATGGGGCACAATTAAATTGCGCTCAGCTTATTTACTTTTATCTGAGAAAACAAATTGGCTGCACAAGCTGGGAGGGCGGTTTTGAATCTTGAAACCTCACAGAAAGGTCCACAGAGGAAGGCAGCGAGAAGAAACCCCATTTTACTGAACTCTGTCTATTACAGCCTCAATTACTGGGATCCCTTCCCTTCGCAGCACCATTTAGAGAACACACTTCTCTCCTCT